TGTTGTGTCAAACCGAGGAAAATTGTGAATGGAATGTTGTGTCAAACCGAGGAAAATTGTGAATGGATGCAACCCAGCTTCAGGGTCGGGTGGGGATGTGTTGTATTCCAGGGATGCCAGAACTGGATTTAAAACTGAAATTGTGACTGCACCCTAGTTACCCCCTCCCCTTCCCCCCCAAAAAAAGAATTCTCATTCTGTAATCTTTGCAGGTGCGATGGACTATGATAGTATCTTTGCAGGTGCGGTACACTATGAGAGGATGATGATTGGACATGTATATATATATATATATATATATACATATATAATATTATATATATGAAGTCCAGGTTGTTGTAGAGGTTGGAAGGAAAAATGATTGAACATGGTGTTCTTGGGAGAATGGCACCACATGCCATTGACACACCCTTTTGGAGCAACGGAACATACACTGATCTTTCCATGGAAACACTATCAGCTGGTAAAAATCCACTTCTGACATCAGCTGTTGTATTCAAACCCTACATCTAGATGATAAGAATCCACTTCTGATGTCAGCCATTGTATTCCGACCATAGACATAGACATAATTGACGCACTACTGGGGCCTACCTTATGCTTTAAGCAGAGGCAGAACTGCTCCAAGATCATGGCTGTCTGTACTACAATGTGGTACGGAGTCCGACCATTCACAGAGTGACACGCGCTGAGTTCAGAGAGCCATATATATGGCCCCAAGCCTTCTTCTTCTTTTGAGAAAACTATGGCACAGTCACGAGTTTGAAAATGCAGTAAGTCTTCAGGCAAAAGGCCTGAAACGTCGAATGCATACAAGCTAGGTTTCGGGTCTGGTAGGGTCACATGGGGGTGTACTAGTATGTTCCGGGGAATGCCTGAAGAGCATTTTCAAACTGTTTTCATGACTGCGCCATAGTTACCCCTTTTCTTCGTTTGTTCATTGGTGGGGAGGTTCACATGCTGGAAACCAGGACCCATGTGCCACTATTACATGAATAAGAACTGGAAAGCACAGCTTGATGAGACTGACAACAGGTCTGAATCCGTCTGATCAATAGAATTGAATGATGGGTATCTGGTTTCCAGCAGGTGCTGCTCCCCATCAATAGATCGGAGCACCCGACCGGACTACTAGGACGGGATGCTCATATCACCCAGCAGAAAGGCGGTGTTTTAGAAACTTTAAGAAGGGATAATTTGCGAAATACCCCTATAAGATGAGGTATATGTCCAAATGCCCCTAAAAGATCTTGGTAGAGCGGAATGCCCTTTTGGGCCTAATTCTTTGCGTGTTGCCCCTGTCGGAACCATGTGCAAATATGCAATCTGGACCGTGTCGTTGGGGCCTGGGCCTGCACCCTGCTTCACCCGGTTTGCCCTCCATACCGGGTGCCAATGGGTGGGCAACTTTGCACAATACCCAGGCCCTCTCTCTCTCTCTCTCTCTCTCTCTCTCTCTCTCTCTCTCTCTCTCTCTCTCTCTCTCT